CAACAGAAAAGCTTCAAAAACAGACTCCAACGAGAAACTGCTGAACTTGAATTAATATGCAAACTAGATACTATCAATTTAGGCTTAAATAAAGACTGGGAATGGCTGAGCCATTACACACATTGAATCTATTTCCCCATGTTAAGTATCCTCACACCTTCTTGTCAAACTGCCTTAAATGGGCTATCTTGATTATAATTGATTATCACTACAAAAGTTTTTTTTTCCTGCTGACAATAGCTCATCTTAATTAATTAGCCTCTTAGAGTTGGTAGGGGAACTCCCACCTTTTCATGTTCTCTGTATGTATATATATCTCCTCACTCATTCCATTCTATGCATCCGATGAAGTGGGCGGTAGTCCACGAAAGCTTATGCTCAGAGCCCAGGTTGACAGGCTGTCACAACACCAGATCTAGGTGGGGAGTATCAAATCACAACCCCCCCCCCCGATATGGACTTTACACAAGGTAATTTATGTGGCCGTATGAGACCCATGCCTCAAGCCCCTGGCATAAGGGGCATGTCTAAACCAGGGGCAGTGGGGGGAACAGCAACAGCATAGCACTTCAGGGATTCTGCTAATTTAGGCTGCCCTTCAATATTAAGTTATTCAAGAGACCACACCGGCCCCTAGAGCAACCCAGGGTTGGCAGGGCAGAAAGATGGCTTGAAGATATGCAACACAGAATCTCACCACTGGTCTTTTACTTTTGTATCGTTAAACAAATTATTCAGGCATTGTTCCTTATCTTTCAGAGTGGATCTGAAACTGATAAAATGGCTGGTGTTGTGAATTACCCGAAGTTTAATATTGTACTACTTTATCTCTGTGTACCATGTGAGCTTTCTTCTTTTCTTTAATTTCAGTCTCTTGTTTTTCTGTCGTCTTCCCTACTGTTTTGTAATTTTGTTCCCCTGAAAACAATATACACTTAATCACAAGAAAATGCTTAGTTTTTCAATTCACCTTTTAAACCAAGCTAAAAAAAGCTAGATTGTAGTTAGTTTACAGAGCAAACTGCTATTTAAATGAGAAAACATTAACAACAACACAATTAACTTTTCAGTAAGATCAGTAAATACAGAATTAGAAGCTCAGTGAATCTTCCTTTAATTAAATGACAGTCACCTTGTCGAGTATGAATATTTATCTCCCTTTCCATTATAGCTACATGTAGTTGAGCAAGTTTTTCCTCAGATTTTGACTATAAATCTCAACTTCATCATGTTCCAATAAGAGTTGTTTATTTCACCAAGGTTTTCTATAAGTATCATCAGGACCCTGTGAAACTACAGAAGTTACCATTTATCCTGTTGCTCAATGAGTAGTTGTTACGTATTTGTGTTAATTTCAGCTTCCATCTTGTGCTCAGTGTGTGTGTGTCTCTTTCAGCTGGAGTTGCTCACCTTTTCTCTGAAGCAAGGGATTAATATTAAAGGGATTTAGCATGACTAGTGCCCTCCTGACTGTCTGGCTGCTGCTGCTGCTGTAGAAAACAGGAATGCATCCTGTTTCAGTAACTACCATTCTAGAAACACTGCCTCTTTTTTTAATGTTTTTTCTTGTTTCTTATTTTTACAGCTTTTGAATGACTTGTGGCTGTTTCTATTTTCTATATTTCTATTTTGCATGCTTTTTAAAATTTTATTGTATTTTTTAAAAACTTTCTACTAATTTTTAAAGCTCTTATCTGGTTCTTATGAATATGGAACCCCCTTCACTCTTCTTCAGAATTATCTATAAACTTTTTGAACTCCATGAAGGATACCTGGTCCAAGGTCAGGTGTGGGGCCTGAAAGACTGCACTGGGAGTAGTGGCTTTAGAAGGGCTTAGTCCATAGGCAAAAAATGGGAGGCTGAGGACTTAAGGAAGGTAACTATTTACTTTGAACCTAACGGCAGGAGCTGGGGCCATAATGTCAAGTTCAGGGTTACAACTGTTTTTGTATGGTTTCCCTAAGTTGTATCAGTGTGTTATGTTTCCCTGAGGTGCACTGAATTTTTCATGATTTTTTCTCTGCTTTAATTGATTAAGATTTTTCCTTTTCCTTTTGTATGTGTTCACTTTTCTAGTGGTTGTCTCCATTTATGTGTTATATTCTATTCTTTACCCACTTACTTGTATTTTCCTTGATATATACAAAAAGCAGCTGACTGAGCAGGCAAAGGAATCTTCAGGGGGTGCCATTAAATGATAGACAAAGACTTCCTTTAATGGCAATTTGACATTTTGCAACCCAACAGTCAGGGAAGAATAGCCCTTCCTTTTAATGAGGGAATTCTTGAAACTGCAAAAGGAATTATAGACTACTCCAGCATCTCAGCAACCTGAAAGAGAATAGAACAAAAGTATTAAGGTCTCCTAAAAGGGTTAGAGTATTTTTATTCGCATCTGCTGCCATCATCTCTGTTTCCTTCCCCAGACCTGAAGAAGAGCTGTGTGTTGTTCGAAAGCTTGTATTTTTCACCAACAAAAGTTGGTCCGATAAAAGATATTATGTCACTTGGCACCATCATCTCTAGTAGTCACTGCAGCTAATGAAGGCCATCCCATGAGAAAAAGAGGCAAAGAAATTGGATCTGTTTGGTTGTAAGGATTATTCAGTGGTATCTCTTCAGGTCAGGATTGCAAACTACTTAGCTATGCTAGTCAAATACTGTTATATACAATGGGACAAAATTGCAGTCATGGTTTTCTTCTAGGCAGAGATCTCAACCATGTATTTTGTTTTATCCTAATTTTATTATCAGAAGCAGCAAGATCAGTTTAAAAAGAGTCAGAGATTCCAAAAGAGAAGACTGTCCTCTTCATTCTCTACTCAACCATCTCATTCTCAGAAGCAACAGTTTTGATACTTCAGTGGAGGTTACTGCACTAGACTATGTGGATTGGTACCCTTCCCTTCCCCCTTTTGGGACCTGCCTTTCTTTTTTCAAGAGTGCTTGGACTTCAATAACATTGCGCTTTTGGGTCATCCAGACAGGATACACCCTCCAATTCCATACCATATTTCCTCTCATGCACCATTCTCATGCATCAGGAAAAACTGTCACTACAGGAGTTAGTGGAAATGATGCTGGTTCCCTTAGCCTTTGGGGGAAAGAGATTTTATTCCCCATACTTTCTTATATCAAAAAAGTATACTAGACCAGGTACTCCATAGTAGACCTTAGGCTCCTCAACATTGTCATCACCAATACAAAATTCTGCATCACAAATACAAAATTCTGACTCTGGCATCCATCATACCTTCTTTATATCCCATGGATTGGTTCAGTATACTTGATTGGTTCAGTACACTCGGTTCAGTGCAATACATCCTTTGCACAAGAAATGTTTTCATTTCCAAGTACTAGGCGATCATCATCAATTCCAGGTCTTTCCGTTCAGACTCTCAACTGCACTCCAAGTGTTTACAAAATGTCTATTGTTTGTATCCGCCCATCTTCATCATCGAGGGTTTTATGTTTACCTGTCTCTTCACAATTAGTTAATCAGGGAAGATCAACTCAACGGGTCTCAGACTCAGTAAGATCGAATCTACATCTGTTCTCAAACTTGGTTCTAAAGTTCAATCTCAGGTTCAATCTCAGTCCATACAATTCCTAGGCATACATACCTGCCTCAGGAGAAGTTCCAGAATTTATCTCTCATATTTATTTTCAAGCCTGAGATTGGTCTCAAGTACTTATATCACACCCTTTGCCAGACTGAGGATGAGACCTCTTCAGTCCTGGATCAGGTCAGTTTACTATCCAAACATCCACAGAATGATCACCCCTTCATTGATGGCTAGAACCAAGCAATGTCTGTTGGGGGTGCCTTTCACTCCAATATTTCCCATTCAGATGATAGTGACCAATGCATCCACAAAGGGTTGGGGCGCTCAACTGGCTCGATTCCAGATATATGGACTCCTGTGGATTGTTCAGACCACATAAATGTTACAGAGCAGAGCAATTTGTTAGCCTGCAAAGAATTTCTTCCCTGATAAAGAACCAAACAATAGAAGTTTTGAAAGTTTAACAGATAAAGTTACAATAACAAAATATTACATGGTACCTTGTGCGTGTGAAAATGGCTTGAGTTTATTTAAAAACTGAAACTCGTTGTATCTTCTCTGCACTCTGCTTTTCATATTATTGCAAATAACTTAATTCCATAAATAACAGGATATTTATCTTAATGCTGTGCCAGTTAAGGCAAAATATGTATATATAATCACTGCGACCTTTAACGTATAGAAAGCTTCAGCATGTTGATATATGTACATGTGTGCTGCAAAAATAGTGTCAATTGAACATACAAACTAGGAAGCAAAGGAATGTTCAGTGTGTTTGTGTGAGGAGGTTTCACATACTTTATGACAGCTGCCCTGCAACCTGAGGCATGTATTATTGGATTTAGATTACTGTCTGTCATTAGTGTGGGAGCGAATCTTTATTTTTGCAATAGGCTATTTCTTTAAAGAAGCGTTGGCTCATGCTAATGGTTTATCCTTTGGCCTTGTTGCTTAACTCTTTGTAAAAAAACAGTGGCTTGGGACAATGTTAACTCATGGTGAATTTTGTGTACATTTTGCATACTATTTTATCAGCCAATGAGGAAAGCATTAATGGATATTATCACTAATATAATTCCTACAGGAAAAGTTTGATTAAGAGTTGGACCACTCATACCAGTGGATCCAAAGAGTTTCTTAGGAGGGAAATCAAGGATGCGTATCCTATAGTTTTTATAATCATTTTGGACCCCTGGACCCCTAGGTATATATGAAGAGAAAAACAGAGTACTTCAGGGGCTATAGTCAGGATATCTATTTTGGAAAGCTGAAGTGTTTCTTGCCCAGGCAAACTGAGGTCTTGTTTTACCTGGGTTTTGACTACATTTTGAGAGGAAATGGAGAGGACTTTCAGAGATATCTGAAAGATAGTAGATGAAGGTCTGTGCATTCATTCATTGTAGCTTCCTTCAGCTGCAACATTTATGTGCAGGTTCGTACTCATTAGCAAGTTCTTACAGCACTCCATAGTGTTGCTCCATGCAGGCTTTTTGAGGCAGGAATTTTGCCTTCATATATGTTCGCACAGCACCTAGTACACCCGCCAACACTCTTCATCCACCTAAAAGTCCCTAAAGATAGCAGATTAATTTTTCTCTGATGGTGATCCACCAATGAGGACTCTTCTCCTCAATTTCAATCTCCCTTTTTCCTCTTTAAGAGGTCACCAATGAATAGTGGGGAGATTATACAGGCCATTATGATGTTTTCTTTTGTACAGTTAGGAAAGTTCCCTGAGCAGGAGATGTGACTAGGAGGGAAGGAGACACATTTTTGTAAATGTTAATTTGATACTTCAACTTGACAGACAAATGTGAAGCAGTAATAACTTGTTTTATTGTTGCTGGTTTGGATTGGCAAAAAGTAAAATTTCAGATAAATTACTTATGTAACGTTAGCGCCCTCGTGGTCAAGTGGAGTCTGCTCTGCAGGCAGCTCTGTCCAACAGAAGTGCGCAGGAACGCAGCAGGGAAAGTTCCTTCCACCCCAGGGGCACTTGTTTCAAACCCCTCCCTTCCTTCCCCCGAGTAAACACACACCGGAAAAGTACAATGAATATAGGAAAGGGAAATGTTTATTTACAGAGGGATGAAAGGAAAAAAACAACGGGGAAATATAGGGGGAGAGTAAAACAGGGTTGCATTCAACTCAAGGCCCCACAGGCCCAGTGGTAGCACAGTCTGGAAGGGCAGAGCAATGTGTCTGCACACAGAGTTCAGGAGTCCTTGGCAAAGCTCCAGTCCAGTGGTGAGTCTTGGGTGCTCCTGGTCATCTTCGGCGCCAGTAAACTACCCCCAACAAACCCCTCCGGTGCCCTCTTCTGCCGCTCTCTGCAAACCTACGCAGAGTGACAACCTCCCCACTTAACTAGCTAACAGCCTCCCTCACTATTCCCAATGCAAAGGCACTCACAGCCCCCTGCAGCTCCTCACAGCAGTGATACTGGGTCCAGCTCCGGTTTGTTCTTCTTGGGTGATTCCTCCCCGGCACAGTGCTCCTCCTGGCTCCTGTCCTGGGTTGTCCCTGATCAGCCGCTCTGTCCCTCCCAGGCTTCGGGCAGGTTCTTGACTGCTTCACTCTTTGAGGGGCCTGCTTGCTGCAGCCCTTCTGTAGGGAGCTCCAGACACACCCCCTCTGGCTCTCTTCCCTTCTCTCTGCTCCCCCTCCCACCAATAGCACTTCCTCCTTCTGGAACAATCAGCACTTCCCCCCTCAGGAAAAATATTTAAAGGGGCCATGCTCTCTCTAAACCCCAAAGGGTTACGCTTATTAACATACTGCAGTTTGTGTTTCATTATAGAGTTGTAGTCTCTAGTTATGGTTGAAGAGGCTCTTCAGTTCCAAGTCCCTGCTTTCTGTACGATTGGAAAGATTACAGGTAGATTACATATCTGAATTGTGATAGATCAGATATTCAAGAATGTACCAGCACTCACTTGCTCTTTCCTTCCTGCATAACTGTGTGAAACATGGATCATAATATTGTATTAACATAACATTTTCCAGCTAAGAACTTGTGAAACGTGTTAAAATGTGACATTGTCATTTTAATATTGCTGTAAGGATGACATTTTTATTACCTTTTCAATTGTATGTTGTGTTACCTAGGGATTGTTCTTATTTCCATCCAAACACTAGATTGGCTATGCTACCTGCATATTAATTACAGTAGAATATATACTCAGCTGTTTAATTTTTGTTTTGTTTTGTTTTCTCCCTCAGTCTGTTCTTTCCCATGGAGCTGTGGCTGATTGTGCTGTTGTTGGCCAAGAGGATGCCTTAAAAGGTCTTGTCCCATTAGCACTATGTGTATTAAGAAATGGTGAGAGCTCATTACTGTTCATCGACTCGTGTCTTGTGTCACTAAGATTTGTATAATGTTGTAAAGTAGTTACAGCATCTGAAATTCCTCACCAGGTATAAAGACAGAGGAGGAGATAGTTTTGGAAGAAATTGTTAAGCGTGTTCGAGAAAGCATTGGCCCAGTGGCAGCTTTCCGAAAGGCAGTGTTTGTGAAACAGATACCAAAGACACGTTCTGGCAAAATACCACGTTCTGCTCTTTCTGCTCTTGTCAATGGCAAACCATATCAGGTAAGCTATAGGTGCTCTTTATTCTAACAAGGGACGCTAGCACATCAGCAGAAGTGACTTAATCTTTTGGTTCTTTAATGTATTTTGCTATTGGTTCACAATATCTGATATTGTAACGTCATTTTATTTTTGCCTGGTATATTTTATCTTCAGAATCTTTATAAATGCTTTCTTCTTGATTACTTTAGAAAAATTAGCATTAGAGGAGATATTGAACCAATTTCTCCTTTACTGTATGTGGTATTTGGCAATTCTCTATCATATGTTTATGTATGTTCTTCCCTCAGATAACTCCAACCATTGAAGATCCTGGTGTGTTTAAACACGTAGAAGAAGTACTGAAGAAAAAACAATAATGTGACTTTTATCCATCATACACTGTTTTTTAACAGTAAACTTCCGAACGTCTGGAATAAATGAAGAAATTTTGTATTCGGTAACACAGTTATAGAACATATTTTAGAAGTCTGAAATAACCTGGCACTAATTTTATTACTACAAAACTGTTGCTGCTTTCTGTGTCATATCATCATGGACAGTGAAACATTTTGAGTTTTGGCAGTATTTGTCATTTGTATTATACTGGAGGTTTAGACAGATATGAAGTAGATACTTACAGCAGAGAGTTTTAACAGAGCCTTGTGAAGAGGATTCATAAATTCATAGAGTTCAAGGCCAGAGGGGACCATCAGATCATATAGTCTGACTACCGTATAACACAGGTTCGTAATTTCACCCAGTAACCCCTGCACTGAACACAATAACTTGTTTGGCTAAAGCATATCTTCTAGAAAAGTAGCCGGACTTGATTAGATGATTTGGAGAATCCACCACTTCCCTTGGTCACTTCTCAACCTTTTTTTGATAAACTAAACAGATTGAGCTCTTTAAGACTCTCACTATACGGCATTTTCTCCAGCCCTTGAATCAATTTTGTGTCTCTTTTCTGCATGTCTCCCCAGTTTTTCAGCTTCTTTTTAAAATGCGGACACCAGAACTGTATGCATTATCTCAATATCAGTTTCACCAATGCTGCATGAAGATATAAAATCACCTCCCAACTCCTACACCCTGTTTATATATACAAAGATCACATTAGCAGTTTTTGCCACAGCATCGCACTGGGAGCTTATGTTGATTTTCTCTACTATGACCCCTAAATTCTTTCCAGCATACAGACTCCCATTCTATAGGTTTGGCCCGCGTTCCTTGTTCTACTCCTGGTAGAATTCTGCGCCAAAAAATTAAAAATTCTATGCACAATATTTTAAAATTTTGCAAAATTCTGCATATTTTGTCAAAATAATATAATCACACCAGTTTCAATTATTTTTGGTCATTTATTTCAAAATACTACCTGTCAACAAGTATGTCTGTAACAATACAGACAACAAAAAAAGACTCAGGAAATGTTTTTTGACAAACAGATTCCTTACTAGGCATATTAATACAGAACTCTGAGTAATAATTCATTTAAACTACAACACAGAACCATATTTCCCACACCCCTCAGAAGCAGAGCAAAGGCTTGGGGGAGTCAGGGATAACAGAGGAGTTGAGGGAGAGGGAGGTAAATTCCTGGGAAGGAGCCTGGGTGTGGTGGGAAAAGTATGGAATAGGTTTTGGGGGGGGGGGGGAGGAGGCAGGGAGGGATTGTTAAGGAGCTTCCCCCATGCAGACCCTGGCTGACCCCTAGCCTCTCCCATTCAGTCAGGCACATCCGCCCCTGTCCCCGTGAGTCTCTGTGCCCTCACCCAGCCACTCCCTGTCCCTATGCAGCTCTGCCCCACCTCCCCTTGTTCCCATGTGTGTCTGCACCTCCCTCGCCCTGTGCCTCAACTTCCATTCAGCCCCTGCCCCAGTCCTCCCCCACTAGCCCTTATGAGCCCCTGTCTGACACCTCACTCACACAGCCCCGTCTCCTGACCTGGCGTGACAAGCGCTGCGAAGGCAGCTCTCTCTCTCTTCCCTCGCTGGTGGGGAGCTGCAACTTTGTTCTGTCGCCACAGCGCCCTCTGGTGGGAAAAAGGCAGAACTGCAGCAATATTTTGTCAGAAGCTCTTTCTGCGCGAAAAATTAGAAATCTGTGGGGCTCATTAAATATGTGCACACGCAGTAGCGCAGAATTCCTCCAGGAGTACTTGTTCTTAGATGTATAACTTTGCATTTGGCTGTATTTGGATGCATTTTGTTTGCATAGTCCCCAGTTACCAAATTATCCAGATTGCTCTGCATGACTGCCCAGTCCTCATCATTATTTACCATTTCACCAATCTTAATGTCATCTGCAAATTGGATCCCTAGTGATTTTTATATTTACCTTCAGCTCACTGATGAAAATGTTGAATTGTATCAGGTATCATACTGATCCCAGTGGATTCCCACTAGAAATATCTCCATTCGATGATGGTTCCCCATTGACAGTTACTTTTTGACAGACGTCTTTTAGCCAGTTCTTAATTCATTTAGCTGTGCTTTATTGATAATCCTATACTGCTAATTGTTTTAATCAGAATGTCACGTGATACTTTGTCAAAATCACTTAAATATACGTATATTACATCTTGCTGTTACTTTTGTCAACCAAACCTGTAAGCTTTTCCAAATGAAATCAGGTTTGTTTGACAAGACCCAATTTAATAAAACCATGTTGCCTAGCATTAATTATATTCCTATCCTTCAATTCTTTATCTGTTGAATCCTGTGTCAGCTTTTCCTTTAGTTCGTCCAGCATTGATTTCTAGCTAATTGGCCTATATTTATCCAGTTCATCTCACTTACCCTTTTTGAATATTGGCACAATTCCTCCACTCTTCTGGAAGCTTTTTGAAAGTTATCCAGGCCTACTGAATTGAAAATGTTAATCACTAGTAAATGTTGCTTAACATCCTCTTGGACAATACAAGCGCATAATCTTGCTTCAATTCAAATATAAAACACAGATATTTATTTTCTGCAGCAGTATTAACAATTTTACCATCTTCGCCTAGTAATGGGCCTATACCATTGCTAGGATTTCTTTTATTCCTAATGTACTTTAAAAATTCCTTCTTATTGTCCTTAGCCCTCGCAGCCATGGATTTCCCGATATTTTTAGCTTCCCTTATCCATTTTCTACACTTCACACATTCTAATTTATATCAATTGCTATTCCTCCCCTTTTTCCATTTGTTGTATGTTGATTTTTTTTATTCCTAATTGCTGCCTTCACTTTGCCACTGAATTAGGATGGGCTTTTAGCCAAATTTTTTATCTTTATTGATTGTGGATTTATGGCTTTTTGGCCATTGACTTGGTGGTGCAGCATGCTAATTTGCTTGATGCTTTTCATGTGCATCTTTACTTTAAAGTTATGTCACAAATAGAGGGGAAAGAAGGAAGGAAAGACAAAGACTGAATTAGGACTGGATATCTTTCTAAAATATATCTCCAGCTCATACAAAAGTTATGGGCTTGATGCAGAAATTACTGGGTGAGGTTCTATGGTCTGTGTTATGCAGGAAGTGATTGTAGATAATGATAATAGTCCCTTCCAGCTTTAAAATCTGTGAACATCTGTTTATGGACGACCATCACTATATCCTTAATTCATATCATATTAAAAACAAATAAGATACAGAAGGTTGACTTAATGATGGATCATCTAAATTTGGAATTTTCTGGCCTTTTACAGTGCGTGCCACTCTTAAGATAATGAAAGGGATAACCAGATTCTATGTGTGTATACTGCTGCTGAGCTAACCACATGCTTCAGGCTTACAGTGAGAAATGGGAACACTGGCAGCTACCAGGTAACATGATAACTGTTGGCTAATTGATGACAAACAAAGAGCCACCGAGCATCTTTTTTATAGCAGTTTCTGACCTCCTTCTCTCTCTCCCCTCCTGCCCATAAAGCAGAGCTGTCCTTCCTGGGTAAGCCCCAGTCAAATTCTGCCCCATCTTAGTTATGGTGCAGTCATTCTCATAAGGTGCTGAATATCACGGAGAGTTGTTTGAGCACCCCATGCATTTATGAGGTCATTGCAGGCTGCAGCTGCTAATGCAGTCAAAGGAGAGCGCTTGTACATTTGAGTGTGTTCTCCGTTTCAAGTGGTAGTTTTTAAAGCAGAATGAAATTAATAGTCTTTATTTTAAAATAAATATTTACAAAATTCATACAATAGATTTTAAAAAACAAACATTCAAAGCAAAGAAGTCAGCATTTCCTGTCATACAAAATGACACTAAGCAACATGTGAATTCAAAAGTTGCTATAATGAACGAGAGACTCACTTAGTGAAGCTATGCTAAGGGAGAATTCCTTAGTGAAGATAGTTTAGGGATCTCCAGTTATTTTACAGATTGGTCCATAGCTCAGGGATATATTTTGTTTGAAAGAGTATCTATAGAGATTTATGTATCAGGGGGTAGCCGTGTTAGTCTGTATCCACAAAAACAACAAGGAGTCCGGTGGCACCTTAAAGACTAACAGATTTATTTGGGCATAAGCTTTCGTGGGTAAAAAAACACTTCTTCAGATGCAGGGAGTGAAAATTACAGATACAGGCATTATATAATGACCTCACAAGTGGAGAACCTGCTCGAATTGGCCCTGTCAACACTCAGATAGAATGAGTAGAGTCACATAATAATTGAGTCCATAGTTAATCTTATGCTTTACCAACCAGGATGAATAAATTAACAATCCTGCTCTCCTGTTCAATTCGGGTGAAATCCACCACCTAGGCATGGCCCAGCAGCAAGACTAGCCACTACTTAAGACCTCAAAATAAAGGTTGAGGGGGGACTTACATAGGGCATAGGCCCTCTGCACAGATTTTAAATTTTCACTCATGAGACACGGATGTGAGTAGTACTGTTGAGTTCAGTAAATTACTCACCTGGGTGTTTGCAGGATCAGCTCCTTAATTTCCTCAGTTTGGCTATAAAAATGACATTTTGCAGCTTTCTCCTTCTACTGCATTTGCTGTCTCTTTGTAGTCATCTAAGATGATCTCTATGCATGTATTTGTAGCTTTGGAGGGAAGACAGAGATGTCCCTATGAATGCTGCAGTGCTGTCTACCTTGGCTTCATTAGCTAACTAATGTTAATCTAAAGTGTGCTGCCTAATATGGAGTGAATCAAAAGCTCCAAAAGTTGCCTCTTCTGAAGATTAGTGTCAAGCTCTGAGGTATAAAATTGCAGAAAATCTAAATTATTGACACCAACACCAGAGCACTGTACAACAAATATGGCAGCTGTAAATATATACCAAGAGCCTTCTTCACCACTGTCTTGCATCTTGTTTAGATCGGTGGGGAAAATGATACCAAATCAGATGCCAAATATTTTTGTGAATATGAAAAATTGAGTATAGCAGGCTAGTTTTGTTTGTACTTTATTCAGATAAGAACTACTTTGTGAGTCATTAGTTTGGATGCAGGTGTCTTATCCTGTGGACTATAGAGGTGTATGGTAGTTGCTTTCCTATGTAATAAAATTGATGAACATTTAAAAGTAAATTATGGTCTTTTGGATTAATTTTTTTCTTTTGTAAATAGAATGTCATAAAAATGTCCATGAAGGGGAAAAGTAATTATAGGGATGAAGACGCCTTGGGGTTAAGGCACTAGCCTAGGCCTCTAGAGACTTGCTTCATGACCTTGGGCAAGTCACAAGCTCTCTCTGCTCCAGTTTCCACACCTCTAAAATAGGGTAATACACCCTTTCTCCCAGTCTTCGTCTGTTGTGTCTATTTTATGTTTTTTCAAGCAGGACTGTCTCTTAATATGGGTATGTACAGCACTTAAAACTGAATGAATCCATCTTCTTAGACTTCCTAGTACTTGAAGAGTGTTCTTTATGAAACAGGACTAGATGGCTCCAGAAAATGATAAAAGGATTTTTTGTCTTTGTTTTCTGGATTGTTTGTTAGTTCAACTATTGCTCAGGTTTCTAGATTTGTAGTGTCCTATGTGAATAGCGCTGGGGTTATAATTCTGGGTTGAAAAGAGTGTTTTTGAACACAAACCACTATTACAGTTGGTCTTATAGCCGGATGCGGCCCTGTTCATGGCTTGTCCTCGGCCAGGCAGGAGCAGCTCCTGCTCCATGGGGAGGAGGGGCAGCCCATAGCCCGTCCACATCTGCTTTTTTTGAATGTGTCTGTGTAGGCTTCCTGTTATGCCAGCTTCACCTTGCTCTTAAAGTGTGGTTTGCAGTTTCCTGTCTGAACCACAAACAGCAGTGGAAGGCCTTGCTGATGTGAGAGGCTAGCTTAAAGCTATATTACCAACTGTATTCATGTTTAGGAATATGCAATCAATATGTAAGGAATGAGTGAGATAGTATGAGTGTAAGAAACCAAT